CTGTACTTTTGTACGCTTTTGATCCCAATAAGCTACAATTTTTTGTTTATACCGTGCACCGTCGCAAACTCGAACCATTATTTTTCAATTTTGCATGCTCGCGCTTTGTCATCCGCCATTTTCAATAAATTTATTTTGCAACATTGAAATAAATTGATTCTTAAAGTAGAGATTTTTAGCTTCATTTCCATATTTTATAGAACTTTCTATCTTTATTATTTACGAAGTTATCGTCAGTTGAAATTTGATGAATTTTTCCCACATTTTCAGTGTACCGCTTTTTTTTCGGGTGAGTGTAGTATTCGCCTGCTGTGATGCTGTCAGACTTAACACGTACTTTACGCCGCATGTCACAATTTCGTTCATAAACTCGAAATCAAACGGGAACTTTCTCGAGAAATTTAATAAATTTATATGAATATACCGTGGCTTTGCGCCGTATATTTTATATGTCAGTCTTGCTGAGAAATTTTGTGCTACATATAAAAATAATTAAAAAATTTATCGTTGAACATATTGGACTGCAACCATCAACAGAAAAGCGCAACGTCGTACCTGCACAAATCGTTTACCTGCCATCTCGATAGCGTTCTTGAAATTTTTCCGAACTATTTAGGCACAAACCCCGGAAGCGGCGTTTCGAAAGCGCAGCTCTTTGCAACGGTGCGCGGTCCTTTCGCGGCAATCATGAAAGAACTTTGGCATTTTTGGACATTCCACATGCTGGGAACGTGCGGAGACGACAGACTACTTGACAGACAAGTTTGACCACCCAAAATCTTTTCGATAAATCACATTTTCACGTGAATGTTATATAATTTTGCAAATTTTCTGGCCGTACGTAGCTTTATACATGTATAAAGGTCATTAAAAAATGTATAAATTAGAAAAAAATCGATAACGGGCAGTATCGACTAACACGTTTAACGTACGTCAACGTATCGCTGTTTCTCAATCGATGGTTTTGTATTTCGAGAATGCTTATACGACACGGCCAGACGCTTACGCGAACACTTACGACGGGGCCAGACGCTGAATAATCAACGGCCAATTCGACGAGGATTCGAATATCCAGGATTGACTGAAGTATGATGTGTTTGCGTGGAGAAATGACGACGCAGCTGGTTTTCGGATACGTCAGCAGTCTTGACCTATACACGCGGAATCGTAAACTGAGATCCGCCATTTCTGTGCGATCGCGACAGTTTCGTACAAAAATATTTCGGTAATAAAGAACCGTCATTTCCATACGCACACTAATATTATACTCTTATCGGTTTGTTGAGTCATACGCGCTCGGAAACTACAGCCTAAACACTTTGTCATACGATTCTTCACACGACAGAGTGCGTATGGTCTGGTGTGTATTGCGATATACACCAGACGTTATGTTTATTCGTTATGTTTTTTTGTAATCTGGTGTCGGCGGTATTGAACACGCCGAGCGGCAATGCAATCTATGCTAGTCACGCTCAACCATTGTTATCGCGAGCTTACCAGCGCGACACGGTCGTCTAGAGAACCTTGCTGCTCATCGTATGTAATCTGACATTTACATAGTCTCGAGTAACAGGCTGAGACACGCTTCATACGCTTCATCTGTTTTTGCCGTTAGTGCGATTCGCCGATATTGACTTGTTCATCAAATAATGTTGTGCAAAAATTCAAAGAAGAGAAGATTTCCTCGAAATGCATTTCAATATTCTGTCAGAGAACCTTCGAGAGTAATCAAGTTATCGAAAAATTTGCACATTCTCACCACCATCCACTGCTATCGATCATTAATCACCCATTTATCACCGTGTGCTTGCTGTACTGTCGGAAATAAACGCGTCGCGTAATTACCTCTCCGTTAGCACGCTATAATGCATCATAGAAACGCTTTGGTGTCGAGACAATCACTGCGTGGCACTCGGCGCGCATACGGCAATTCGCTTCGACGAAACACACGTGGATGCGACTTGGCGGTGCCCTGTGTGACTCGATAAGGGCGTGATTCCATTCACGAGCATGGCAATTTAGGTTAATAACACAAGGCGGCAAGGCGCGTGCGAGCCATAGAGAAAGATGGGCAACGATAAAGTCAGTGGAGAGAGAAAGAGAGAGAGAGAGAGAAAGAGAGAGAAAGACTTGGACGCGTACGTCGTCGGCGGTTATGATTATTAAGATTATCGTTACTACACCTCGCGCGAACGTAGCGGTGATTCGAGAGAGAGAAGCGTGCTCGTCGGGAAACCGGAGTTATTTATGAAGTGTGTGCGAGAGTGAGCCGCGTGGCCGTAGTGCCGCGGCTTATCTGATGCTCTTATTTTCTTGTTTGCTGCCGACGCATAATGCTGCGTTAGAAAACCGCGACACGTGCGACCGTGCGCGCGCTTCATATGTAAAACAATATGGGAATTTGATGTGACTCGCGAAATGTGATTGTGGGAACTGCATTATTTCCGCCGCACGTCGAAATTTCTCACAGAACCAGTTTATTTATAACATTTTACTCTGAGATTTTCTGTAAAAGATCGAAACACTAATTTTAAATATTCAAAGCTAAAAATATTTGATGGAATAATATCAGACGAATCGTCGCACTGTCTTAGGAATTTTCAAGTTAACATTTAATTGCAGTTACCGGTCGCACGCAAGCAGCGTACGTAGGGGTGCGCGCGTCAGATTATTACAGAGGGTTACAGCGGAATTATCATCATGCCGAAGATGAATTCGCATCTGCGCTCAACGGTAATCAGCACAATTACACTTCGGTTCCAGTGCATTTCCTTGATCACTGCTGCGGCTGCGCATCCGTGTTTAAATATACCACGGAAAAAAAAGCAGCGATATTCTCCAACGGCGATATCTCAACGGTGCTTGCGATAATTACATTTTCTTTTCTATACATTTTTTTGGTGCATCCCGGAAGTTCGTGCAGAACACTGAAATTATGAGACTCGGATGCTTCTCGGAAGCTGATAAAATATTCTTTCCGACTCTAAGATGTGAAGTTTAATTCAAACTGGACTTATATAACGCGACGACGCACATACATCTGCCGACAGCGAATTATCAGCCGCGTCGAGAAACAAAAGCGAGCGAGAGTTGTTCTTAGAACGTGCACAATGGCGGTTTATTTTCCAGTCACCTCGCGAATAAATCAAACCTTCGGAACGCTCTCGTCTGCTTCTCGATCTTGTGACGAGTGTGGCGGATAAATAACACCGGTGCTACTTAACCGATCGTAAAAGGCGTCGCGCAAAACGATTTCTGTTTCGCTCGCGGGCACGGCTGTGCCGCACGAGGCAATTTGCAGCTGGTCCAATAAGCATTATTCTCGTAGCCCCGTCGAATTCTATCGGCGCGTCCTCGTAAAAACGTCCGTGCCGGTTAATTAAGATCTCGTGACACCGTATAAATTCACCTGTTGCGACTCTTAATTTCCGCTGCGCAAGAACAAGTCCTCCGTATGGTCAATTTCCTCGCGGGCTCCTTGTCGTATTTGTAAGGTTCTTCGCCGAGTTTGTAACGCACGAGAGAGAAAGATGATCAGAATTCGTGAGGCCGCGGCGCGAGAATGAATGTCGTCGCCTTCAATAAACTGCGTATTTTAATGTTGTCTGTTCATCTTTCGACTTTTGTCGCGCTTAATTGTCTTCATTCTCGCTCTTCGCGAATACATTTTTTGGGAATACGCGCGCAATAACGATGCGGCTACAAAAGCGCGATAAAATCTCGATTCGAGATTGGCGACTTTAAATATTATTCGTTAACATTATAATTAGTTCTGGCTATTTAAGGGAAAAAAAAAATGTTAACATCACACGGTGTTCCCAGGCGGTCACCCATCCAGGTACTAACCGTGCCCAATGCTGTTTGACTTCAGTGATCGGACGAGAACTGGTACTTTTCAGCGTGGTATGGAAGTTAACGAGAGTATTCGGAATGTGAAAAAGTTTTATGGTCATTGCGAGAAAAAATTACAGATTGCGATCGAGACTAAACGTTAACTAAATTAAGATTCTTACATTCGCACTTTTCGAGTTACGCGAGATCGCCGACATTTCACGTGCAATTATATCTTGAGAATCTCGCCCTCCGATCCGGTTTGATCTCTTCTTCCCTTGTTATTATTCACGAAGACGACGTAAAAAGAAGACAAGGGTAATTAATTTTCTTACAAGTGAAACATTTGTATATACTTACAGCATCATTTTGTAAATCGATTCGCAATCGTGCATGTCCTGAATATAACAATTGCTATTTCAATGCAAGTTTAACTAAATATAAGCATAAATAAAAATCTATCTATCAAACCCCGTCGTACAAGACTAATTACTAAAAAAGAAGAACTTGCAGCCAATCGTATGACAATTTATTCATAATTGATCGCTGCGAGAAATCATGCTGGCGATAATACGACGGAGCAACTCGTGATTTCGTGAGCTTACAACACGCCGCAGCGTGCAGTCGTTTCGCGTGAAA